GACAATTTTCATCCTAATTATTTTTAAACTAATTTTGCCACAGAGCTGAACGAAAGGAGCCTCAGAGAGTTCATGCAGAGCACAAGTTAAAATGTGCAGTGTCTGATTGATGGGGCTAATTGTGCTGCTTCCTTCCCCAAGGGATGGCTGTCTCAGATCTGGGGTTCTGTATTGCACACAAACAAACGGGTCCCTCAAGCAGGAACTGACGTGCCCGTGGTACTTGTGCCTTTAATGGCTCTTCCTTCCCTTCTCCAGGATGGTGATCAACTCCCCAGCCAGGGTGTTGATGTTCCAGTTCCAGGATGTCACGTGGGACTATTCCTTACCTGCCGACAGGGAGGTGAAGGAGAAGGAGAAGGAGAAGGAGAAGCAGCCCAAGGGGAAGTCGAGCAGATCCCCATCTCGGCAGCAGAAAATGAGGAGCCAGTCAGCAAAAGGCCGTGGAACATCTAAATGTATTGCATTCAACCTCTGGCTTTTCTAAAATTAGTTAGAAAAGACTCCAAGGCCCCAGTACCTTCGTCCCAGTCAATACACACTCTCTGCTGTTTGCAAGAGCAGTCTGGTAGATGTGCTGCTGCATTTCAATGGTGCTGTCATTTTTAGGCTCCCCTAAAACCTTTATGCCTTTTTAGAAGGGTTAGTATAAATACAACTGATTTTTCAAGGCAGGCACTGTCATTTTCCAACTGAGTAATAGAGAAATCAGTAGTAGTATTCATATTCTTACAGCTGGTGGGCATGGAAACACACTGCTGATTCAGGGCTTGAATTATTCATTAAAAATACTCTAGAAAGTTATAGAACACCTACATTCAGGATCTGCCATCACTGGGAAATGCAGCTGCATATAAACAGACACCTTTTAAATTGTAACATAGTGATGTCATTTTTTTTTAAAATCAGAGTCATTAAATGCAGAGTGTACCACAAATCTTCCAGCTCCACAATCAAACTGGATATTGCAAATAATCTGATAGGCTAAGAAAGCATTTATGCTTCTAAGATGCCATCAGATGCCAACCTCCTGGATGCAGCTCTGCATGGAAAAGATAGGACCTGAGGGAAAATCTGGAGCTGTGTCAGGGCAGGCTCAGGTTGTATCTCAGCCAAAGGTTCTTCCCCCAGAGGCTGGTTGGGCACTGCCCAGGCTCCCCAGGGCAGTGGGCACAGCCCCAAGGCTGCCAGAGCTCCAGGAGGGTTTGGACAGGGTGGGATTGTTGGGGTGTCTATGCAGGGACAGGAGTTGGACTGGATGATCCTTGTGGGTCCCTCCAACTCAGCGTATTCTGTGGTTCTTTGATTCTATGATTCTATGATCTACAGCTGTAGAAACAGGAAACAAACAAGGAGTGGACTATATTTTAACTTCAGTGGCAAAAAAGTATGGGTTGTGTATAGATAATATGTTTTAAAATCAACATATGAACTCGGTAAGGTTTTCTAGTAATCAAGTGTCCTTGGATTATTTCTAATACTTATACATTTAGAAACTGTGATAAGAGCAAAACAGTAACAAAGACCTGATATCTTATCAGTTGTGGAGATTTTATGTAATAAAGAAAAGTGTATCATCAGCAATGTTTAGAGATGGCTTATTCTTCTCTTTGCCAGCTCCCCCTCGTGAACTGAAGAAATCAGCAGCTTGCCAGCAGCCAGGTAGGACACTAATTCCTCAAAGAAGTCCACTAAGAGATATGAACAAATTAATCCAAAGATAAAGGATCTCTAGAAGCCAGGTCCATTCTGGGTGACAGGTCTGCAGTGGTAAAACTGATCCTGCAGAGCCTGGGGTGGTTACAGGAGCTGCTTCACAATCAATCAAATACACAGGACAAGTCCTCAGCTCAAGCTGTAGGGCTCTGCTATCCAGGTTTTTAGGGTCTCCTATTTTTTGCTTCTTTTATCAGGTGTAGGAGAATTCAGCACCAAATTTATTCAGGCAGTTGGTATTTAATCAATAGCAGCAACTCAGAATTGTTTAAAATGATACATAAATTGTGTCAGCCAGCAAAGACATGGCAACCTGAAACTTGAAAATGAGACAGAACTGAGATCACAATAGTGTCTGTGGCCATGTGGCATTTGTCTCCTTTAGTTTTGATCAGGTGTTTTATTCAGAATCTGTTGGGATCTTAAACTTTCAGACATACTCTGACATCTTCCTTCAGAAGAGCTGTACCCATTGAAAGGCTCTAGCCCCAAACTCCTGGGGTGGGTAACACAGTTACCAACAGCTCTAAATTCTGTTAATTTAGAGAAACAAGCAAGATTTTCATTAGTTTTTTGCTGCATTCTGCCTTTCTGCACTGTAAATGTTCTCTGAAATACATTTCTAGAGGGCAGAAGGTTCAGGTAACCGGTCTGGAGGAACAGACTTGCACTGTGAAGAAATGCTACGTGAAGAGCGTGACACTGCAAAGCCAAATGACAGATGAATCTCTGTGGCAAGACATGGGTCTGAGTGTCTGACACAGTCTGTGTCATTGTCCACAGTTAGTTCCTAGCCGAGGACATCATCACACAGTCCATCCTGGCGTGTGTCACACAGCACAGGTCACTCCCTCACCCCCTGAGCAGCAGAGCCGGGCTATGAAAACTCTCGTGATTCCCAAGAGCAGCTCTGAGTCGTGATGGTTCCAAGTGATTCCCAGATGCTGGCTGATCAAAGATTTCTACCAGCAGCTGACTTGTCTTGAAGCCTTTTCCCAAAGCACAGACAAGAAGGGGGTGCACGGGGAGAGGTGATGGGGAACCTCACGGCTTTTAGAAACCATGGTTTCAAACAAGGTGGGCACCAAACCATCCACACACAAACACAATGCCTGTTACAGAATCTGGCTCTAGTTCATGGCAAGGGACACTTCACAGCTATCCAAGGCAGAATTCCCTCCTTTGGCAGTGTCACAGTGAGGCCAAGGATGAGCAAACAGCAATGGCACCATTGGTTTGCAGCTTCCTACGCTGCCTGTTCTGCAGATAAGTGTGGCCTGCCCACGTGTGTCAATCCAGTCCCCATCCCTGGTCTCACTCAAGTGCTGCCCTTCCAACAACTACCACAAAAACTATCCCCAGCTCCAAATGTATTGCTTTATTTTTGGACACAGATGGTGAACCTGAACACGGCCCTTCTCTCCCTGCATCTGCACACCCTGAAGAGGCAGAAGACACTTTGCAGCCTGTAAAGAGGAGAAGCCCAAGTCATCCACTGTCCCCTTCAAAGCTCCTCCTAACAATCAGCACACTGCAGAACACCTCCAAGTCAGCCCTAGTCAGCTCCAGCACTGAGCACTCTGCCAAAGCCAGGGAATCATGGAAATGTCCACGGGAACGTCAGCAACAAGGCCCTGAAAAGGTACCAATGTCCAAAACCCCTCTGCAACACAAAAAGGATCAGACAGAGCAGCTCCAACGAGCGAGACTGCACAGTGACTCTCTGACTATGAAAACAATTTCTACACCCTTTGAAACCAAAATGCTGCGGCTCAAGCTGAAAAATTCCTTGCATGGCCCCGGTGTGAAATCCTCCATCCCTGCTCCCTGTGTTGTACGTCCCAAGGCTTTGCTGGGAGAAAACAAAGTTCCCGGGGGCCATGGTAAAGCTGTTCCTCTCCCCAGAGACAGGGTTCAGTTCACTGATCTCTGTACAGCTTCTTCTGAGCTGATCAAACCAACACCAACGAGAAATGAAGTTTCCAGGAGGACAAAGCCCTCTCGTTCATATAATCCAGACCCTTTCCGGAGGGATGGTGGGTTCAGGCTTCTGACAGCAAAGCAGGCAGATGAGGCAGCTGCTGCAGCTCAGTGCCAGGCACAGCAGACAGAGCCCACAGAAGATCAGCAAAGAGCAAGGCAGAAAGCCTGGTTAAGGAAAGTTAAAGGCCTACCTGTGGATTCTTTTACTGGGGAGGGGAAAACACCTGTTCCTGAACTTGGGTATAATGTGTGGGTATAATCCCTTAGTCCAACTAACAACCACTGCCTGAGGATTTTGGTGTCCAGCTGAGTCTGCCATGTCAAGACCCTTGTGCTTTCTAAAGGTAAAAGACATCCCCAGTGTAAGTTTTCCTGCAAAATATTACTGGTATATCCAGCTATTTCTCAAGGCAGCAAAGGGACCGAGCTCTGTCCTGGATTTAACTTGCTACACCTGCTGTTACAAGAGATGTGACACTGTTTGACACTAACACAGCTGTGTGCAAATAATAATAAAAATATCTTACTAGAGTTCATGTGGATTGATTGGAGTGTCTAAGATGACAGTGTGTGGATGGAAAACTGTCTGAGCAGCTGAGCCCAGGGGGTGGGATCAGTGGCACGAAGTCTAGTTGGAGGCCAGTAACTAGTGTGTAGTCCAGGGGTTGATATTGGACCTGATTTTGTTTAATATCTTCATTAATTAATGCCCTGGCTGATAAGGAGCCACCCAGGAGGAGTGGCTGCTATCCCAGAGAGGTGCTGCCATCCAGAGGGACCTGGACAGAATGGAGACAAGGGCTGAGAGAGACCTGGGGGAATTCAGCAAGGGGAAACACCAAGTACTGCCCTGGGGAGGAACAGCCCCACAGCACCAGGACCCGACTGGAAATCAGCTTAAAACTTAATTCTTCTTAAGTATAAAATAAAGGTTAGAGTTTCTATTTCCCCATTTTTGTTGATAAATGCCTAAAACTGTACTTGGTTGTGGAAGGTACCCTGCCCATGGCAGGGGGGTTGGAACTAGATGATATTTAAGGTCCCTTCCAACCCAAAGCATTCCATGATTCTGTGATTTCCACTAATGCTCAGGACTTAAATTGCCTTGAGTCAGGAAGACAGAAACCTCTCTAGTTGTCCAGCTTTGAGTATTTAGGTCAGCATACCATAAATTTCTTATTCTCTTGCATTAGAGGCTTAAGACAGGTCACTCCTGCCCACGGACATACCAAGGGACCTTTCAGCTGCAGTTCTGCTTTGAAATGAAAGCCTCTGAAACTCTCCATACAGTGGGGTCGTGATTAGTTTTGATTTGTTTATTTTAATGTCATCTTCAACTCCCAAAGCCTGGGATTAAGCCAGACCTTGCAATTGTGTAAAATAACAAGAGGGGGGCTGGCAAGTGGCCTGGATCAGCACATCTGTGCCACTGGGACTGTCACTGCCTGAAGGGGCTTTGCCTGGCTCTGCTTTCCAGGCAAGAAGCAGCAAGGATTTCACAGGCAGCCACAGGATGGCACTTTCTCCAAAGAAATCAGGCGTCAGTCCAGCCAGAGGTCCTTTGGCACAACCCCCTTGGGAAAAAAGCATCTCCTAGAGAGAGAGTGATGGGAAAATATTGCAGAAAGGCTGATGCCTTCTTAGCTGTGCTGAAGCGAGGAGGATCAGAGGGTTGTGTTCCTACTTGGAGTCAATAAATCAGCACCTCCCTCCAGAGGTGTGGACTCAGGTACTTGGAAGATGCTACAGCCAACAGAGGTGTTGTGAGATCACCTACAGGGCAGTGCTGGACCAAGTCCTGGGATCAGCTTCAGCTCAGCACAGCAGCTGCAAAGTTGGGAGAGGTTGTCACAGAGGCACTGGAAGGGAATTAACCTGTGGCAAGATGTCACATGTGGCAGGTGAAGTCACAGAGGTAAATGAGAGGAGGTGGTTTTTCATAGAATTCCAGAATGGTTTGGGTTGGAACAGACCTTAAAGCTCACCCTATCCCACCCCCTGCCATGGGCAGGGACACCTTCCACCAGCCCAGGTTGCTCCAAGCCCCGTCCAACCTGGCCTTGGACACTTCCAGGGATGGGGCAGCCACAGCTTCTCTGGGCAACCTGTGCCAGGGTCTCCCCACCCTCACAAGAAACAATTTCTTCCCTATATCTCATCTAAACCTACTCTCCATCAGTTTTACTACATTAACCACTCACTCCCGAATTAAACTGTCCCGTCCTGTCCCCTGAACCTTCACACGTGCAGAGGTGACAACCCGGGGTGCAGTGGCAGAACTGGGTCGTGCAGGATGTGACACCCCTGCGAGCAGAGAAACCCACTCAGAGGGGTGCCAAGAGAGTTTTCATGCAAGTTTTGCCAAAATCGGGTGTCACTCGTGTTGTACCTGTCACCCACAAAGTGTGGATGTTACCCTGATGTGATGACACAGCGTTGATGTCACAGCAATTCTGTCTGTGCAGCTCCACAGGTGTTTTTGAACAACGTGTGTTGGCCAGAGCTGGAAGCGTTTCCATTTCAGCAGAAATACCTGATGCTTCACAAAGAGAATAAAAAAAACCCCAAAATCCTCCAAAAAAACCCCCAAAGAGGCAAGACTGCCCCCTTCAGATATTTTTCAGGGGTACTTCTGAGTTGTTTGTTTTTAGGGGTTTATTGTATTATTATTATTATTATTATTATTATTATTATTATTATTTTGTTGTTTCATTTTCTTTTTGTTTTGTCCTCCAAGCAAACATTCGGCCGCAGGCTGTAAAAAGAAAAAAAAAAAAAACAAAACCCACAAAAAAACCCCCAAACCCAAAACCCTCCAAAAAAACCTCCATCCAATAAAATCCCCCCAAAAACCCCAAACAGGCAAGATTGTTCCCTTGAGATCTTTTTCAGCGGAATTTTTGACTTTTTTTACATTTTTATTTTTTTTTGACTTCCGGATAATTTAACACAGAACGTTATGTGCTGCTGCGTCGCGTCATAACGGGCCGGGGTCGGGAACGGGAGCCGGGATCGGGGCCAGGATTGGGATCGGGACCGGGATCGGGGCCAGGATCGGGATCGGGATCGGGGTCCGGGATTGGGATCGGGGGCCGGGCGGTCCCTCACACGGTGCCGTCTCCGCCCCCCCGCCCGTTCCCCTCAGGGCCTTTGGCGGGAGCGGCGCGCGGACACGTCTCCCGCCTGGCCCCCGTCAGCGCGCACGCGCGGGCTGGGAGGGGCGGGGTCACGGGGGCGGGCCGCGCCGCGATTGGTCTGCGAGTGTGCCAGACCGGGGTGTGGGCGGGGTCACGGGGCGGGACGCGCCGCGATTGGTCCACGGAGGTGACGCTCGCGGAGGGGCGGAAGTGGCGGCTCCGACCATGGTACCGGGATCGGGGTCGGGGTGGGATTGGGAACGGGGCCCTCGGCATTTGTCATAGGACCGGGATCGGGCAGCCGCAACCAGGATCGGGATCGGAGGGGGGCCCTGGGCATAGGACCAAGATCGGGATTGGGATTGGGATCAGGCCCGGCAGCGGTACCGGGATATGGGCGGCAGCCTGCGGGCCCCGGGACACCGAGGCGGTTCATCCCAACAGCCCCTGGTTGTTACCAACAGCCCTTGTTGTGCTGCGCTGCCGCCCGGGGTCTGACACACACACATTCCCTGATATGGGAATGGAGAGCTCGGGGGTGTCACATATGATGCCTTAAAATCTATATTATGTAGGTTTTCAGGCATCACTTTGGCCCGCTGTTTACAGGGTCACAAGAGGCAGGGCTTTAGTCACAGCAATTTCCCACCCTGGCCGCAGTTCGGGTCGGGAATTCTCTCTGGAGGGTCAGTAACGGAATATGCTTCCACTTGGGTTGTTATTCAGGCAAGAAGAACAGGTTTCCGAGGCTGCTGGTTAAGCACTGGGAACAGTCAGTGTTTGTGAGGAGCTCTAGAGCCGCAGGACTGGGCTGGCACTGGTGGGGGCACGAGGGGCTCAAAACACTAATTCCTCAGGAGAGGCAGCACTGATCTCTGCTCTCTGTGGCCAGGGACAGCACCAGGGAATGGTCTGGAGCTGTGCCAGGGCATGGTCAGGTTGGATCTTAGCCAAAGGTTCTTCCCCCAGAGGCTGGTTGGGCACTGACCAGGCTCCCCAGGGCAGTGGGCACAGCCCCAAGGCTGCCAGAGCTCCAGGAGGGTTTGGACATCGCTCTCAGGAACAGGGTGGGATTGTTGGGGTGTCTGTGCAGGGCCAGGAGTTGAACTGGATGACCCTTGTGGGTCCCTTCCAACTCAGGATATTCTACCATTCTATGCATTTTTTTGTTTTGTATGTGGTTAAATCTTCACATTCTTCCTTAACTAATTTTGATCCTGAGGTGCCTCTGATTTTCTGGGTGATCAAAACTGTCCCTACTTGAAGTTAGAAATGGATTCATTTTTCTCATGTAACTTCTCTGTTCCCCTCTTCAGGACAGTGATGACATTGAGGACGTGTCTCTCTTTGATGCAGATGATGATTTATCCAGGAGATCAAAAAAGTCAAAAATAAGGTCAGTGGCCACAGAGGGAGTTTCTAGATGAGCTCTGGGCAGAAGTGTGAGGAAGGAAGGGCTGTCATGTTGCATCAAAATATGTAATGGCAAATACTTTCTTCATTGATGTAGAAGTTATGGAGAGCAATTTCTGGATAACTGAGTTCACCAGTTCCAGAAGCTCAGTTGGAATCTGTAGATCTGTGTTTTCATGTTTTTGGGTGCCCCCACACTTGATCTGTGTTTGAATCCCCGTGTGTGAGGAAACCACAGTGACACAGCTCTGTGTAACGGGGGGTTCTCACCGTGTCAGCTGCTGGGTCTGGGCTGGTCCATTATCTCCCCCCAAATGTGTTCTGTGCTGCCCTGCTCTCTGCCAAGTCCTGGCCTGGTTAGTCCAGCTGGCTCCTTCCTTGTTCTGCCCAAAATTACCCCCCTGGAGCATTGTCCATCCCTCGTGCTGTGACCTCGGCTCTCGTTTCTGACCTGGAAACCAGAGAAACTCAGCAACCTGGGCTAGTGCAAGATGTCTCTGCCCATGGCAGGGGGGTGGAACTCGATGAGTTTAAGGCCCTTTCCACCCCAAACCATTCCATGATTCTATGAAATCAGGAAGGAGGGCGACTGCTGTGTTGGGAAGTGACATCTTTCCTTCAGAGGAGTTTTCTCTGTCAGAACCTCTTTAAATTTACCCCATAAAAACTGCCATGTGTGGAACACCAGGTGAAGCTCCCTGTCCCCTCCCACCCCAAATCCTGCCTGCATGTGGGATATCCCTGCATGCAGAATGTCTCTTCCTTGTGGTGACTTTCCACTCAGTTTGTGTCCCATATTTTCAGAACTTGTTGCACGCTGGGTTCATGTTATGATGCTGATCCTTATGCTGGGAGATCTCTTGGCAATGTCATTTGTCTGAAGGAGCTGTGACTGTCCTGTCCTTCATTCCAGGCACCCAGTGGCATCATTTTTCCACTTATTCTTCCGAGTCAGTGCCATAGTTGTCTATCTGCTCTGTGAGCTCTTAACTAGCAGCTTTATTGCCTGCATGGTGACCATTATCCTCCTCTTGTCCTGTGACTTTTGGGCTGTAAAGGTAAGTTCCTCTTATGCTTTTTGTTATCTTTGCCTTACTGTGTAAAAATAATTGACAGTGATATTCATGTCATAAAAAAGTAACTTCTTTGTGCCTTTGCTGCAAAATGATGCCCAAAAATACCCTCAAATTCTGTGATGGATTGCAAAGTGTTATGAAATAATAAGTCTGTGTACTTGGTTTCATTTTGAAAACCAAATAGGGAATATGTTTTAGACTTTCTTTTGAGGCAGCACAAGCTTTGTTATCACATCACTTTTGAAGCAGCAGAAATCAGTCATTTGACATTGTACTGGACATCCTAGAAAACAGATTGCTGTGGGCATAAGGGCCTTGTAATCTTGTTTTCCCAAATGTGAGGCACACAAGCACCATGGAAAACAGCAACCCAGGCAGCTGAACTTTGGCAAGAGGTTTCTTTTAGCAGGAGACACCAAGCTGATTGCTCTTCTTGTTTCAGAATGTCACAGGGAGACTGATGGTTGGCCTTCGCTGGTGGAACCAGGTGGATGATGATGGTAGAAGTCACTGGGTGTTTGAAGCCAGGAAGGTAAATTCCTTTGTTTGTTTTTTTTTTTTCTTTTTTGTAATCTTTTAATTGTTTCTGTTTTATGAACCCCCCTATTAATTGGTGGCTGTGCTTGTGAAGGTAGATTGCACAATCTACATTTACTTCCAGCCACAGGTCTGTCACCATGGGCTTGTTTCCCAAAGGCTGCTGGATGAGCTTTTGGATTGCTGAGTTATTTAAAAGTTCTCATAATGTATTGAGCTTAATGGTAGTAACCTAAAAGTCCCACATGAGAGGCAAGAAAGGTTCCCATGCTGTATCAGTATCCTACAAATTTTCTAGTGTGAGCTTGGAACAGCTGATGTAGCTTTTTGCTGCTTTGGAAAACTATTGGAAATAGGAAGAAACACACAGCTGGTCCTGGCTTTGCTTTGCCTTTGTGTTCCTGACGCCTCTCTGGTGTCACATCTGTCAGACATGTCACATATTTGCCACTTTGGATCCTTATTTTAGTTATAGGACATAGAGGAATGGCTTCAAACTGAAAGAGAGTAGGGTTAGATTGTATATTAGGAAGAAATTGTTCCCTGTGAGGGTGGGGAGGCCCTGGCACAGGTTGCCCAGAGAAGCTGTGGCTGCCCCATCCCTGGAAGTGTCCAAGGCCAGGTTGGAGCAGCCTGGGACAGTGGGAGGTGTCCCTGCCCATGGCAGGGGGTGGGACTGGATGAACTTTAAGATCCCTTCCAACCCAACCCCTTCTG